GTGGGGAGAGAGGTTTAGACATGTGGAAAGCTGCCAGCATTTTGGGGCTCAGCTGGGCACGGCCTGCCTGGGGCCCACCTCTGCTCGGGTGCCCTGGGCAGAGGTACCCTTTGGCCTCTGTTTATTTGTTTGCCTCTGAACTGCGCAGAGATCCCAGCCGAGGGACCCGCCCGCCAGTCCCAGGGCTGGGTCCTGCTCACCGCCCCCCCCCACCACCTTGGGCTCCAGCTGTTCAGAAAGTCAACAGTGCCCAGGAACAAGGAGGGAGGAGGGGACAGCAGGGAGGTGCCGCCTGCTGCTCCTGGCAAGCATGTGACCCTCAGGGGCCGGCTGTCACAGGTACTGATGGAGGACAAACTCCAAGGCTAAGGAGGAAGCTCTGGTGACAGGCGGTGCTGGTGGCTGGTGGCTGCGGGGTGGGCAGGACTGGCCCTGTTGGCTGTGGCCACGGCCGTGTCTATCCTAGAGTCAAGGATGGCTTCAGGGGCAGCTGGGGACACTTGCTTTCCACCATGGCATCAGCTGAGAAGCCTAAAGTGACAAGAGGCCGAAGGGGCCCGGTCAGCCCCGGCGCGCCCGTGAGTGGACTGGCCTGTCCTTGTGCCGATGAACGACACCGAGTGTCCCTCCCCCAGGAGCCACGTGGAGAAAGCAAGAGCCAGAGAGGAAGTGACTTTCCCAAGGTCACCAACTTGGTGGCACGGCCCCTCCGGGGCTCTCCACTCCCTCCCCGTCCAGGGCTCTGATGAGTTGGCTCTCTGAGTGGCTCTGGCCACCTGGAGGGTGGCAGAGGCCAGCCTGCACCTGTCCCTGAAGCTGTCTCCTCGGAGCTCTGTTGCCTGGTTCCCCGGGGGGAGGCCCAAGGGCTGGGCCCAGCTCAGGGTCACAGGGCCACAGGGAACAGGTGTGTCTCCAGGTTGGTCCCAGGCTGCTGAGAGCCCTGGCCCACGTGAGGGAGGTGGCTCTCTGTGGCTTCAGCCCCCTCAGGGTCATCTCCTTGGATCAGTCTCACCACCATCTAAATGGGACGGGGTCGCCCCGCCAACCTGGCAGGGCTGTCAGTGGGGGGCGGGAACGTGGGTCCTAAATTCCTTGTGGAGGGGGACCCAAGCAGAGGGGTCCCAGCGTGAGGTGGGAGGAGCAGAGACGGAGGCCCAGGGAGACCAGACTCCCCCAGGCTTTCTTTTTCTTTTTTCGAGGGGGGTACCAGGGATTGAACTTAGGGGCACTCAGCCACACCCCAGCTATTTTGTTTTGTTTTTTTGTCTTTTATTTAGAGACAGGGTCTCACTGAGTTGCCTAGCACCTGGCTTTGGCTGAGGCTGGCTTTGAACTCATGATCCTCCCGCCTCAGCCTCCCAGACCGCTGGGATTACCGGCGTGGGCCACCCGTGCCGGCTCCCCCAGGGTTTCTGTGCTTGTCTTCTGCTTCCGGACAGGCTGTGGCTGTGGGATGGCCTGTGGGAAGGCGGCCCTGCCTCAGGAAGTCTGGTGGGAAACACAGCTTCTGCCTGTCAACCGGGACTCAGACCCCAGGCTCCTAAACCCAAGAGCTCAGGTTTTGAAAATGTCACCTGGTGGCATCGCGGGCCCTACCCAACCCTCAGGGCCGCAGCAGAAGTTGGTGTGGGAGTGGGACGCCTGCCCCAGGCTCCCAAGGGAAGGAGGCCTCTGCCCTCTAGCCTCCCTGTGGTCCCCAGACCTCCCCTGCTGAGGGCCCTCCTCCTCCGTCTGCCTCCCCCAGCGGGAGCTGCCCGCTCTGTTCCCCGCTCCTCAGCTGATTCTGTCCCCAGCTGGTCCAGGGCCTGTCACTGGCCTCTGGTTGCTGATCAGGAGCAAGTGACAAATCCCAGGAGGCTGTGGCCCTGGGGGAGGGAGCCGCTCCACCCCCAGCGTGGCCACTGCTCAGACTCACCGCGGGGCTTGCGCAGCCCCTGGGACTGCCACCATGCTGGGTCCAGCCCTGTGACCTGCCAATGGATGCCACCTGGGTGGTCCCCGTGTCCAGTCTGGGCAGCCTGACCCTTCCTTGTCTATCCAAGTGCCTGCCCTCCCCTCCGAGGGCCTCTGGCTTTAGGTGTCCCCAGCAGGCTCTTGTCCCTTTGTCCCGAGCTCCTACTTAGGCCCGTGGCTGGCTTCCTAACAGGCCCAGCGTCCTGGTGGCCTCTGGGGAGGGGGTGGGAAGGGTGCTGAAGGCTGAGGAGCAGGACCCGCAGGGCCTGGGGAACCCTGAGGTCAGAGTGGGTCGGGAGGGCCAGCTTCTGTGTGTGGACCCTGAGCTGTGGACACAGGGTGACGGCCACTCGTCCTCTCCCTGTGGTCCTACCCAACAATGTCCAGGCTGCTCCCCTTCCCTCTTCCCTGGCCACCCCACTTCAGGCTCACTCCAAGTGGGGCTTACATGTAAAAATAGCCAGCTTTTTTTTTTTTTTTTTTTGAGCTTGTTATCTACTATTTTTATCAGATGGTCCAAGCAAAGCATGGCTGAAAAAAGGGAAAATCATACAGCTCTGTTTGCCAAGCTCCATAGAAATAGCAACGGGGTGGGCTATTTTTAACAAGATGAATACCCCTGTCCTCTGAGGTCTCCCCTGGCCCCATCCCAGCCTCCTTTGTCTCTCTGCCTGGACAGCAGATTTTAAAATCCGCCCACAGCTGTCAAACCACTAAATGCACCCAAGACGGCCATCCGGGCGGTCGGAGCCAAGGGATGACCGTGGGGGGTATTTTTTTTTTTTTTAACTTTTCTCCCTCCCCTGAAGGAAATCACACTCTTTTGTTTGAAAAACCTTCCAGGTTGGTTTTCAAGGCCTTTCCTGGTTGTCCCACTCCCACGGGAACAGCAGAGGTTACTCTGAAACATGCAGTGGTTTGGGCAGAGTGACCCCAGAGGCCTGGCATGGCCCGCGGTGGCTTCTGTGCCAGGCCGAGGTGGGGCAGGCACACAGAGCAGCCTGCAGAGGCCAGAGCTGGGAGCAGGACTTTGAGGTGGGGGTGATGAGGGGTCTTCACTCAGCCTGTCCATCAGGTGAAGGGCAGGCCAGCCAGCAGGGAAGCTGCCCCACAGTAGCCAAGACACAGCCTCCGTCTGCCCAGGGCTCAAGTGTCCCCAGAGCTGTGGTTTGCACAGGGAAGAGCCCCAGCGGTTGGAAATGCCACCCATCACCATGGAGAAGCTCAGAGGGGCAAGTAACAGCCCAGGACACTATAGGGACCCCCTGAGTGTCCCGGGAGACCATGAGGGGTCTGGACTAACCTGGTTCCCTTAGGTGTGCAGGAGGGTGTGGGGGGTGGGTCTGAGCCTGACTTTTAAGGGCCTCGGTTTTCTTTGTGATCAGGAAAAGAGAAGAGAAGCAAAAAGTAACATGAATTGAGCACATACTAGAGGGAGGCGTTGAATGAAACATGATCATAGGCCCATTATCTCACTTAGCTTTCGCCACGATTCTGTGAGTGCCCACCTTTATAGGTTGACAGAGTGACTCTTCCTGGGGACCAGGAGGCCATGCTGGGCAGAGATTGGCAGCATCCCCTGTAGGCGATGGAGCCAGACACAGACTCCAGACACCCCCCACCCCCTCCTCCTGTGCCCCTGACCCTGCCCTGATATTCTGCTACAAGTCAGGGAGAAGGGAAAGAGGAGTGGGCCATGGGGACAGGGCGGGGACAGGTGAAGAAGGTCCTGATGCAGCTCAGCTTCAGTCACACTGGACCCTTGCCCTGAGCCTCCCCCGCCATCCTCCCCCACCCCACCTCAGGCTCTGACTAGTTTCTCTGTTTTATTTGGGGGAGGGGTATCAGGAATTGAACCCAGGGGCCCTTAACCACACTGAGCCACATCCCCCGTCCTTTATTTTTGATTTTGAGACAGGGTCTCACTAGGTTGCTTAGAGCCTCACTAAGTTGCTGAGACTGGCTTCGAACCTGCGATCCTCCTGCCTCAGTCTCCTGAGCTGCTGGGATGACAGGCGTGCACCCCTGCGTCCAGCCTGTCTCTGCTTTTACACATGCTGCTCCCTCGGTGGCAATGTCTTCCCAATGTCCTCACCTCTCCATTTGGTAACCCCCTCCTGACTTCTCAAGATTCATCTCAACAGCCCCTCCTCTGAGCAGCCTTTTGCCCTTCCCTGGCAGGAGGTTGTGACCCTAGAGACCCTGGCACACCCCTGACCCTTCCTGGAACTTGCTTCTACCCACGGTCACTGCCTGCTACTTACTTGCCTGGGACAGGGACAATTTCTTATTGGCTTTGTTTCCCAGGGACCAGCACATGGGCCAGTGTATAAATGCAAAAAAAAAAAAAAAAAAAAAAAAGGTTTCCTGAATGGCTGGAAGGGAGAAGAGGCAGAAGAAATGGAATGAGATGGAAAAAAGAGGAGAGAAGGGAAGAGCGGTCCCAGGCCAGATGCCAGTGGGGCCAAGTGGCTGAGAAGGGGCCAGGAGCACAGGATTCCCCAATCGTGGGGCCTCTTGCCCCAACCGCTGTCCTGGGGGGGCCACCGTCCTAAGTGGAGATAGGTCACCTGCCTTGTTTGTTCTGCAGCTCCTGGAGATGGTCCATCGTGTCCCTGGCTCTATGCTGGGCACAGGGCCCCTCACCTCTGCCAGCTGCCCTGGCTGCAGAGCAGTGGGGCGCTAGACTCTCCCAGACGATGAATGTGCCCACCTCTGGACAGCAGGCCTCTCCCCAGGCTCTGGGCCGGGCTGACACCTTCTCAGAGGGTATCACCCCAGGCCACGAGGCCCTGCCAGCTCCCCTGTTCTCCTCCACAGGAAGCCCTCAGAGGAGGAATGGGGGCGCCTCTGAGCCCCTTTGGGGTTGCAGCTCCTGGCTCCCACCCAGGCTGGCTCTCCGGGTGCCACCCCCGCCCCAGGGGAGGATGGAGCCAGGGAGGAGGGAGTCCTGGCTGGCTGCTGCTGGCCTGGTAATGAATCGTCTCAGAGTTTGCCGCCTGTCTGAATAGCTTTGCTTCTGAAAGGGATTTGTGACAAAGGGGACATTGACATCCTCGACCAGACAAGAAGGGCCGCCTGCACGCACAGGGGAAGGCCCTTCAGAGGCGGCAGAAAGCACCCACAGGGAATGTGACATTCTCTCTCCGAATCTGCCAGGTGGGCTCGGCTGGGTCTGCAGCCATCCTGCTCTGGGGCTGAAAGGTGCAGGCCTGCGGCGTCTGAGCTTCTGGAGCATCTGGGGCCCAGAGTGGCCAGCTGAGTTGGGGTGGGGGGCTGGGGGAGCAGGCCTGGCCACTCAGGGCACTTGGCTGTTCGGTTGGTAACTTAAAATGCAGCTGCCCTGGGCTGGACACTCCCTTCTCCTGGAGTCCTGATGACCAACATGCTCCCCCAGGTAGACTGTGCATTTCTGAATGCTAGGGGTCCCTGTCCTACATGTTTGTGGGGGAGGGGGGCGTCTCTGTGGCATCTGGCAAAGTGATTTTGTTTGTTCAGAAGTTATTGGGAACAGTATTTTTATTATTGTTGATTCGATTTTATAACCGTGTGTGTGCGCGCGCATATCAGGCTTTCTCTGCCAACAATCTGGTTCTCTGGAGCCTGACCGGGTTGTGGCCTTAAACTAATTCATGGATTTATTCAACAGGTTTTTTGGTGAGCATAGGTTGTGCCCAGCAATGTCCAAACATCTGTAGCCCTGCGGGTGGCCCACTCTGAGCCCCGACCATTTGATTTTAAGAGAGAGGAACTGGATGAGAAATCCCTGGGATTGACCTTTATTTGATGAACACAGAAGAACAAACAAATCATGGCTTGGCAGGGCAGCCTGCCCTGGGTCTGCAGCCCTGATGTTTCATGGGACACTCTGCAAACGCCTATGTAATACCAGGCATGGCATCTGCTGCAGCTTGGCCCACAAGCCCTGTCGGCCATGTCTTCAAACTGTGTGTGTGTGTGTGTGTGTGTGTTTGTGGGTGCGCGCGCGCATGCGCATGCATGCTCCTGCTTTTCTGGAAAGGGTACCAAGTGAGAATTCTGACTCTATCATGAACCTCTACGAGGATAACAATGGTATTTCTTTTCCTCTCTTACTTCAGTCCCCTCACCTGTGAAATGAGGCTAATGGGAATTACTACTTCCCTGGGCTCTTGTGAGAATTAAGGAGGTGGATATTGTTAAAACACTTCAGATAATATTTTGCACATAGTAGACACTCAATAAATACTAGTTATTTTTATTGCTACTGTTACTCATGGTATTATTTCCTGTGTAGGTGTCTTAGGTCAGGTTGCCAGAAGCAGACCAGAGATAAGAACGTGTGGCTAAGTGATTTGGGAGTGCTCCTGGGGAACCTGGAGACGGGTAGGGGAGATAGGATGGAAAGAAGAAGCCAGCAAGGTGCATGCATTTCAGATGAAGTTCAGATGCATTTCCTGGCTTCAGTCTTGTCTTGTGGGAGGACTCCAGGGTGCCTCAAGGTTGTACCCAATGCAGGCAAAGGAGCTGGGATCTCGTGCTCCCGTACACCAGTTATAATAAGGGCCACTTTGGGAAATATAAACTTCCAATCACTTCTGGCTCTGCAGGTAAAGCAGCTCCCATAGCCTGAGGGCATTCACCCAGGGAAGTGACAGGAGGCAGCCACAGAAGTGGGGGAAGGTACTTGGGCTGATGGAGAGGGCTGGGGGCAGCACTAACCTCACCTCCATAGAAGGCCTTTGTGAGGGAAGAATGAGCAAAGCCCCTACCCAGGGCCTGGAAAGAGCAGGAACTTGGTCAAGAGGAGTCCCATTTCTTCCTTGTCGTCAGCCACAGAGTGCTTCTGATCCAAGGCAGGAGTCACTCTGGGGTCTGGAGGGCTCTGTCCAACACAAAGTCTAATATATTTGTGCAGGACAGTACTGTGGTTGGGGTGGGTCCTCTGAAGTTCATGTGTTGGAAGTAATCCTCAATACAGCCTCGCTGAGAGGCGGGACCTGATGAGAGGTGTCGGGGGACATGTAGGCTCTGCTACAGGAATGGATTATGGTTGCTATCATGGGAGTGGGTTTGCTCTCCTGCTCTGGTCTTCTCTTGCCCTTCTGCCTTCCACCATGGGATGACGCAGTAAGAAGGCACTCCCAGCACCATGCTGTTGAATTTCACAGTTTCCAGAACCACAAACCAAGACATTTCTGTTCTTTACAAATTAGCAGTCTTGGGTGTTTTGTTATAGCAGCACAAAGGGACCAAGATTGACAGTGGGTCATCCATAAGGAAACCAGTGGGAAAAACCAGAGGCTCGGGCTGCCTGAGCACAGAGGTGGAGAGATGGAAGTTCCAGCCAGCACAGGCTTCTCTGGATCCTCCCAGGACACTAGAAGTGGGATAGAGAGAAACTATGAAGATGTGACATCCACATGCACCCCGTGCACCTCCCCCCTGATACCTCACACCTGCCACCTCTGCCCCATGAAGAGCTCTGCTGTCCACCCCCCTCTGCAAGACCAGTACTGCCCTAGGCCAGCCTCTGGCCAAAACCTTAAATCAGGACACAACGCTTGGCAGCAGCTGCCACAGTCACTGGCAAATCCTGGTCATGGCCCTTTAGTGTTCCCCTGGGGACTTCCTGCCTGGCTGTCAGAGAGCACAGTGGAGAAAATAGCAGGCCCTGTACAACTGGCTTCTGTGAGAAGCCCAGGCCTCTCTAGAGAGCTCCTGTGACCAGGAGAATTCAAGCAGGGGCAGGAGGTCCTTGTCAGGGTGAGTCTAGAGAGTCCCTACACTAAGGTGACAAAAAGAACATTATCCCCCTTCAAGCATTGAGTCCTCGTCCCCTCTCAGCTGATCCTTTCCTAGAAGGGTTTAAAACTCTCAATGACCCTTACGTTTCACAGTGGAGGACTCAAGTTCAGAGAGGCCAAGTTTCAGGTCAAGGTCACACAGTCCCCCTCCAGTCTTCCTGCTCAGCCCTCATCCCCTCGGTCTCTTCCCAGGACAGCAGCAGAGCAAGCCTGGCATTCCCTCCTGTCGCTAGTCCCCTCACCAGCCCACTCTGTTCCTCTGCAGGTCTGTTCTCAGGGCTGTGCTGTTGCCTGTCCCCTCTCCCTCTGGCTGGGAGGCTCTTCCCCTCAACACCTGTGTTGCTCCCACAGTTGCTTCAGGTCCCCCTCACCAGTGTCACCTCTGGAGCTACCCAGTCTTCTCTGTTCCCTTTACCTTGTTAGTGTGTATGTGTGTGTGTGTGTGTGTGTGTGCGTTTGTGTGTGATGTCCTGTCTTCCTTCATTAAGACATAAACCCTACAAGGGCAGCCACATGGCCCCCTGTTCACTGCTAGATCTGGCCCTAGATCCATGGGACAGGTGGTCTGTGCTCCATAAATACCTTCTGGATAACAGATCAGAGCCAAGATGTGAGTAAAAGGCTCCACCCCCAGGGTGTGATGGCAAGGTCCTCCAGCCCTGGGCTCTGCAGCCTGACTGTACACCCCCAGCCTCTGGAAGCTGAGCCGTTCAGTGACCTCCAGAGAGCTGGGCCCCAGCTCCATTCAGGGTGGGGCTGAGTCTCCTCGTGTTCTCTGCACAGCCTCGTTCCTTGGGCCGCTCCATCCACAGCGGCTTCATCCTCACTTCTTTTCCCTCAACTCTGGGGCTTGGGGGGAAGCAATGCCCTTTTTCTCCTGGCCTGAGTTTGAAGCCCAGAAGAATTTGGCAGACTCTGGACTCTGTCCATAGTTTCCTCCAAAATACCTCCCGGATCCCCTGAATAGTCACACACTCAGAATACGATTTGCTGAGCATCTTCTGTGTACCAGGCACATGGATGAAGGGGAGAGGAACATGACTTCTGGATCTCTGTGCCACCCACCAGCCCAACCCGGCCCATGCCACAGACAGCCAAAGCCAGAGAGACCTGGGGCACTAAGCAGGGCCCAGACCTTCCTTCCCTCACTATACCCTCCTCCCTAGGGAGCCCAAGACCGCCACAGCCTACTCCCTTGGACAGACAGGCCTTAACAGGGTGGAGAGCCAGCCTAGGAGAGGAGGGCAGGCAGGCTGGGCCTCTGGGTGAGGGAGACCTGCTGGGCTGCGTCCTCTTCCTCAAAGCCAGTTCTGGGAAAGCCTCCCTTCCCTGCTGGCCCAGTGCTGACAGCCCTTCGACCCCTGCCATGCCTGGGCCTGCCGGCTTCTCCACTGAGAGTGCCCAGGGTGCCTGGCAGGGGTCTCCCCACCCCAGCTCTGACCTTCCAGGGGAGTGGTGGGCACCCTTTACCTGTGCTGTCAGAATCCAGGCCACAAGCTGTCACCTGCCCGTGGCCTACGTATATTCAGGCTTCCTCATTCCCAGAACTCAGAGACATTTGGACAGCTGCTCAGGAGTTTCCATGTCTTCTGGCCACCCACTGGCAATGTTCATGGAAGGAGACGAGAGAAATGAAGGCCTTCACCAGGCCAGCAAAACAGTGCTCATGAGAGTCCTGAGGAGGGTCCCCGAGGGAGGGCGGCCACCAGGAACAGGCAAACACAGAAACAGCCCCAAGTTTGGTGGGGTCTGTAAGGAAAGAGGTATCTCAAAAGGGATCAGCCGTTGACATGAATTTCCTCTGTGGGTCTAAGAATCCTAGACAGCCCCCTGAGTGGGTGGCAGTGGGGTGAGACCCTCCGAACTTACCTCTCTAGGCTCCCGTGCACCCCTCACAATGGCCCTGGCGACTCCTCACTTCCTCCATGTTCCCCCTGAAGAACTGAAGGGGTCCAGGAACAAATCAGCCCCGGTGGGGGTCCCGGGCCCCTTACTCCTCAGGGCTCTGCACAGTGGGAGGAGGCTTCACATTTCATGAGCAAACTGACCCAGGAGCTTGCAAAGCCCAGGCCTTTAACACTCACCTTGTCTTCTGCTTGGGTGCTGGGCTCCCCCACAGCAAGGTGAAGACGACGATCTCAAGGACAGTACCCAATGTCTCAGGTCTGTGTCCCCAGGCCCAAGAGACGCTGGGCAACCAGGGCCTGGGTTTTCATCTTACTATTTACTGTGTGACCTGCGTCATGTGATTTTGCCCTTCTCTGCCTCGATTTGGTCTGCAAAATGGGTTGAACTACAGTCCTGTTCATCCATCTGTGGTGAAGTTCACTGAGACAATACACATAAAGCGCTTAGAACGGCCCCAGGCACCTAATAAGTGCTCAATAAATATTACCTGTTGTATTCCTTCCCATGCTATGAAGGATTCTGGAATTGGGGCCAGCTGGGCTATCTCCCCAAGATGACCTGATCCTTAGGAGACTCGAAGGGGGCCCTCGAGTCGCCTCCAGGCCCCTGGGGGTTGCGGCTGCCCTGGAAAGCCCGGGCTTACCACACTGTTTGGGTTGGGTTTCTATTCCCAACACCGGTGAGAGGCCTGCTATTTATGGGTCCCCCATCCCACCCCCCAGACGGCCAGACAGTGCGTGGGCTGGGGACCACATGGCTGGCAGCCCATTACCCCCACCCCACCAGGGCACTGTGACCAGGGCACGTTCCACACATCGGTTATCCCGCTAGCTGGCCTGTGGCTTTCCCAGCTCTGCCTGCTGCCCCAGGGAGGGGCAGAGATGGAGGGGCATGAGGGGTCACCCTCTTCACTCTGCCTTCCAGCTGCCAGCAGAGTGTCTTTGAGGACAGGTGGGCTCTTGGGGGTCCTCAGGGCTGACACACAGCACCCCTGTTTATTTCCACTGTTCCAAGGCCACATATGTCACATGGCGTCTGGTGTGGTTAAAACTCTGGAGCCAGAAGGCCTGGGTTCAAGTCTTGCGTCAGCCACTCATTAGGTGTGACCTTGGGTAAGTGCCCAAACCTCTTGTGCCTGAGTCTCCTCGATCGTGAGATAGAGCTGGCCTTCGTACCTGCCAATCAAGGTCATCATGAGGCCCCAAATAATTGATCCAGGGAAGGACTTAGTGCCAACCTGGACCCATAGAAACCACCGAGACTCAGCCAGGCCTTCTTGTCCCTATAGGTCTGAAGGAGAAGGGCAGCCTGTGGCTCTCGGATTCATACGGTGCCTGTTCACTGACTGGGCAGAATTGCTGTCCCCACTGTGCAGAGGGAGAAGCTGAGCCCCTGAGGGGGAAAGTGACCTCTGCAAGGTGGCACAGTTGGAGATGACAGAATCCAGGTTCTTCCCAGCCCAGCTGCTGCCTCCTGATCCTTAACTGCTGGGCCCTTCTCCCTTGCTCCAAACAGGTAGGAAGCCCTGTTGGCTGATCCAGCAACA